CACTTAAAGAATTCTTCCTCTCCTAACCTTTATGCAGTGCCCTGAGCTTCAGGTCAGCATTTAACAACTTCATGGTATTGTTCTCATGGTGATGGTTTCAATTTACCAATTAGGCAATTAACTTGAATTCATGGAAGGTGTGCTCTCGGTATTTTTAATTCCCTATCATAAAAACATGATATCAGATTCTGATGAGGTGCTTAATAGTCATTAACTGATCAAAGCCTCTCACCAACTCTTAAGAATGTTTGCCAGCATGCTAATTTTCAGTAAGTTTCAGTTTGAGGCCGGCCATAGCACTGGGCAAAAGACTCCAGGCAGGGATTTCTGCTCCTGGCCAAATAGTGGTGTAGTGTTCCTGTAAAGGAAAAGCAGCTTGTGCGGTACCTGTCCCTGAACTCCCAGCTCATCATGCGTGAGGCACAGGTGCTCCACCTTTTCCTAATGTCCCAGGGCTCCTTGTGGAAGCCCCCACCCCTAGGCCTTCTACTCAATTTGAACAAAACAGAGCTTTCTAATTAAGCCTGTTTGGGTTGAACACAAGTCATATCATTTTTACTTTCAGGCCTCAATCAAAAGTTTTCGTTATTTCCTATATTTCTACCAACTCTTCTCTTTGCTACCTTTATTTGCTTTTTCAAACCTGTCCCATGATACTCAGTGCTCTGGAGCTCCTACTATTCATGGGACACTTCTCACCAGGTGTCTTATTTTTTTTTTTTTTTAGATTTTATTTATTTATTTGAGACAGAGAGAATGAGAGAGACAGAGAGCACATGAGAGGGGGGAGGGTCAGAGGGAGAAGCAGACTCCCCACCGAGCAGGGAGCCCGATGCGGGACTCGATCCCGGGACTCCAGGATCATGACCTGAGCCGAAGGCAGTCGCTTAACCAACTGAGCCACCCAGGCACCCCTCACCAGGTGTCTTATTTAGACCCACAAATTGTAAATATCTAACACATTGTATCCATTATGGGTGCAAGAGCAACTTCAAGCAAACCCAACCCTTCAATCAGCCCCAGTCCCGCTGTGTTACAATTCTCATTAGCGGTTTGTTTATTCATTCTTTTTTTCATTCATTTACTCACCAAGTATTTATTGAGTGCCTACTATATTTTAGGCACTGGACTGACTGGTGAATAGTCAGTATGATCCCTAGCCTCAGAAAGCTTGTGGTTTTGTGGAGGAGATGACATCTTAAAGTAAACACACAAATGAATATTAATTATAATTAAAATATGTATATTTTAATTATATATAATTTAGAGACACCAAATGCAACCCCAAATCTCAGCAATATCCAAAGTCCCAGACACCCTTATAGATCCCCTCATCAGAACATTTCCTTGACATGGCCTCAAATTTCTCTAGCACTTAAAGAATTCTTCCTCTCCTCTCCTAACCTCCATAGTATGCAGTGCCCTTAGCTTCAGGTCAGCGTTTGACAACTTCATGGTATTGTTCTCATGGTGCTGGTTTCAATTTACCCATTAGGTGATAGTGGGGATATATAATTTAGATGGGGCAGTGGTTAAAGATGGGCTTTCTAGAAAGTGACATTTATTTATTTATTTTTAAAGATTTTATTTATTTGACAGGGAGAGACACAGTGAGAGAGGGAACACAAGCAGGGGGAGTGGGAGAGGGAGAAGCAGGCCTCCTGCCGAGCAGGGAGCCCGATGCGGGGCTCAATCCCAGGACCTGGGATTGTGACCTGAGCCGAAGGCAGACGCTTAACGACTGAGCCACCCAGGCGCCCCTAGAAAGTGACATTTAAACTGTCCCCCAAAAGTTGAGAAATGAGCACACTGAAGGATCAGCATACGCAAAATGACCTGGGGAACCTATAGAGAAGGGCACTGCAGTATAGCGAGCCGCAGGGGTGCAGCCCAACGTGAGGTTTGGAAGTTAGGCAGGGGCTACACCCTGCTGGACCTTGTAGACCATATTCCAGCACTGAATGCTCATACCAGACCTGTAACTTGTGATTCTAAAATAGGCTCTCCTCTCCCCTGTTGAACCTTGGAACTAGAGTCAGATGTCCAAATTTTCCCCTCTGCTTGAGCAGGGATTGGCAAATTTAGACCCAGAGGCTTTCAGAGTCTGCTGGAATCTCAGGTAACCACATATCCCTTTCCTTCATTCATATCTTCTTCCCCACCCTGAAGCATACCCAGACTCTGCTCAGGACCCAGTTGTAGAATCAAGCTCTCTGGGAATGTGAATATGTCTTCACCATTGCTAGGACTGGGGCCTCTAATTCTTCCATCATTGTGTCAGTGACAAAAACCTAACTTTCCATCACAAAAGAAACAATTTTATGGGAAAACTGAAAGGATCATATTTTAAAACGTTAACTTTAATGCTTTTAAATGTCAATTCAAATCTTAAGTTGATCACACATTAACTCCTTAAAAATAAAATGCTTTTTATTTAATTTTAGATCAGCCCTACATCTAGACTCCTCAAAGAGGCCTCTGATGCTTAAATAATTAAGAATAATAATGAATGTAATAATCATCACTCTTTTCCAAAATTCAAAAGCACTTTTCAGTTATTTGACACCTCCTTAAGCTACAGGAAGATAGATCACATCAGGGCTGGGGAGAGAAGGAAGAAGAGTTTTAACCTGTAATTCAGACACCCAAAGTCCACAGAAAGAAAGGGGACCCAATCAGCTTCGTAATGATGTGGTTCATTAACAGGTGATACCAACCACCCATACCCTCTGCTTGCATGAATAAATTATTCTTGCCAGGTTCAGTTATTCCTTGACAGCTGAAGGAAGACCTGTCCTGTCAGCATGTTCATATATTTCAAACAGCTTCATCATGGGGGAGGGTAAAGGGCAGATAATTGTAGATGCTATGGGATGATTATGTCAAGTTCATTTTACTGTTCTATTTTTGTACATGTTTGAAAAGTTCCATAATAAAATGTTTTATTTTAAATGTCAGTCTTTTTACTGTGATTTGGTATTTCCAGATCCCTCTACCAAATATTTCTCTGTGTTATGGGACAAAATCCCAGTCATGTCTCACTGGAAGCTGCTCTGGCAACAGGTATAAAAATCTATTGTTTGGGGCACCTGGGGACTCAGTTGGTTAAGCGTCTGCCTTCAGCTCAGGTCGTGATCCCGGGGTCCTGGGATCCAGCCCCGCATTGGCCTCCATGCTCAGCGGAGAGTCTGCTTCTCCTTCTCCCTTTGCCCCCCTCCCCACTCGTGCTTGCTCTCTCTTAAATAAATACACAAAATCCTTTAAAAAATCTTTAAACATCTATTGTTTGGTGGAGTTAGAAAAAAAATAAAGACTTGAACTTTAAAGTATGAGAAGAGAAACACAGATATCTACCTTGAGTTCACACTACTTCAGTTCAATGAACAATTTCAGAATTAGACCCATTGAGACCAGGAAGGTGAGTACCAGATAGACATTACCATCTTCGTCATGACTGGGCAATGGTGCAGGCACTTAAGAAAGAATTCAACTCCTGACTGAGAAAACATGATTCTGGTAGTGCAGAAGATAGAACTCTCTTTTGGGACAAAGTATGCTTCCCAACCTTCTCTCTGCTAACACATACATAAATGCTCCCAAAGAGAGGCCTGGATCAATAAACAGCAAATTAAATCACTTAGCCTGGAAGTAGTGGCCTTGATAGGACCAGACTCTTGGGAAAATTCCTGGAAATCTCCATTCTAGAATCTTTCCATCTACACGAATTGGGAGAGTGAATCATAATCCAAAGGATTTTATCTTCCCAAAGGAGGGCCTGTTTCCAAATGGCTTTTTGAACCCACATAAGAAGAAAACCCAAGTAGGCACAAAGGGAAGGAGGCAGGTTCCAGCATCAGACACCTTCCTAGCTTTACAGGATTTCACTGGAGCCAGATGAAGGCAGTGACCACCTGGTGCCCCAGTTTCCACATCTATCAAATGGTGATAATATAGGTTATTATGGGAATTAAATAAGACAATGCATAGGAAGTGCTTAGCACAGTAGCTGATACATTGGAAGTATTCAATGAATGGGTTTGGCTTTTGTAAATTATTTGATTGTTTACCACATCTTTTTTTTTTTAAGATTTTATTTATTCATTTGACAGAGAGAGAGAGAGAGACAAGCAGGGGGAGAAGCAGAGGGAGAGGGAGAAGCAGACTCTCCGTGGAGCAGGGAGCCCAATGTGGGGCTCGATCCCAGGACCTGGAGATCATGACCTGAGCCGAAGGCAGATGCTTAACCATCTGAGCCACCCAGGCACCCCTGTTTACCACATCTTTGTATACTAGCTACATTTTAGCATAATTCAGACAAGCCCACTCACCATTCAATCCAAACCCCCTGTACAGGGAAAAACGTTTTTCCAAACACAAATATAAACTCACTTTATTATAAAGCTTTTGAAATAAGAAAATATTAGCATAATATCTGATCTATTAGTAAAATCACAATCTGAAAAACAGGCCCAATGGTATAATGTATCTATAGAAATTAGTTTCTTTGCTTTTCTAGTCAGTCAATTTCAAAGTAGAACTTGCAGTGATATAAAGTAATATTTAAGGTGTAGAATCATCACACCACAATTTTGTTCTTGATTCCACAAAATGCATCATTCTTACAAATTCCTCCCTTTTGAAATAAACAGCATAGGCACTTGGAACCTTAACAGTAAAATTTTGTGAAGTTGACAATGGTAGACTCTAAGATCTGCATTTTCCTTGCTGGTTTTCTAAAAATGCTGTTCTAAAAGGGAAAGTAAAGTATAAATTGATGCATGTATACAGTAAAAATATCCAAAATATTTTATATGAATTTTTAAAAGCTCTGGCTTCTATACCCATTTTTCATGAATACTTATAATACTTTAGAGAAATTATATTGCAGAACTGGATAAACAAAATTTTACTGTGATCACTAGGAAAAAATATGTATGAGAATATTTATAACTGTATTTCAAAAAGTCTTCAGGCTTGAAGATTCAAGAAATGGCATTCAGTGTAAAGTGCTGTTCCAAACACACATAAGTTCATTTTAACTTTGACTTTTTACAGATATTTTCCCAAATATTGTTTTAAAATTGCAAGTGACAAAGTAAATGGGTTTAAACTAAAGTCTTTTTTTTTTTAAAGATTTTATTTATTTATTTGACAGAGAGAGACAGAGCGAGAGAGGGAACGCAAGCAGGGGGAGTGGGAGAGGGAGAAGCAGGCTTCCCGCAGAGCAGGGAGCCCGATGCGGGGCTTGATCCCAGGACCCTGGGATCATGACCTGAGCCGAAGGCAGACGCTTAACGACTGAGCCACACAGGCGCCCCTAAACTAAAGTCTTTAAGTAAAAAGATAACAGGCAACATTCAAATTTATCTTTGGAAAACAACTATGAAATACTACAGCTTTCTTCCATTAAATCAAGTCAGTGTTTCATTCTGAAAGCAATGTATTAATATGTAACTTTATGAAATAATCCAGTTATAGGCAAAGACTCTTGCTACACATGCTTAGTCAACCCAGGATCTTCTTCAGTGCTGGTGTTTGTGAGGCCTCCCGAGGGACAGTGGGTTAAATGGCTTTCAGGGTCAAAATATTTCTTTAAGGTTCAGATTTAAAATTTTTCAATAGTTAAAATCCCCTTTCAGTTGTGTAATTGCTCCTAATTTACAGGTATGACATGATTTGGGGATGTAGCACTATCATTCTGCGGATTTAAAGTGGTTGGAGACAAGCTGGGGGATCTGGCCTTTCTCTTCTCTCCCGTGTTCTCCCTCTGGAAAGTCAGAAATTATTCCAAACTATAGGAAAACAGAGTACTTGAGAATGAGTAAACTATTCTAATCCAGTGGGTGTAGGTATGTGAAAGAGTTCTATGAACTGTAAAGTATCACACCAGTAGCCTTCTTAACCTTCTCTTCTCTCTCCCCTGACCAAAGCTCTAATTAATGAGAGTGCTCTGATGCTGAGCTGAACCCCTGAAGCCTTCTTACTCAGCTGAAGAGGCCCATCAAGTTTCTAATGATTATCCATAAAGAGGTCAAGAGCAGTGGACATTGGAACAAGAATTAACACAGGGAGAAAGGAATCTCACCTTTAGAATATTTTTCAGGCTAACCTCCCAAGTTCTGTTTTGGGTAATGATGAACCAAAATGTCTGATCTGAAAAGAAAACTCCCATCAGAGACCTGCTGATTCAAGAATTCAATTCCTGCCCAGTTGGAATACTGCCAACATTTTTCAGTTCCTAGCAGGAATGTGTGTACAATTCAAATAAAAGCTTTGTTTCTAATGAAAAAAAAAAGAGAGAGAGAAGGAAGTGTTGGTGTTAACATTTCAGGTAAGATTTAGAAATCACACTTGTGACTTGGTGTATTCGGTTAAATTCAGTATTATATGTGATAGTAACAGAGGTGAGTGCCTGATCAGAGGTGAGGGGCTCAGCCTTAGGAAGAAAGCTTTCCGTGGAGGTGGAAGGTGAAGATGCCAAACCTGTCTCATAGTGGAGTTTCTCATTAGGGTTTTACATGGAGTTGTGGAAGAATGCTTTAGATTTCTCAAAAGGCAGTGATTAATACAGACCCCTTTCTCCAAAAAAGCATAAAGTAAGCAAATCTACATGTCACTGTTTCTGTTTACATTCTAACTGAGGGAGTGAGATGGAGGGGCAGAGAGTTTGCAACAAAGCTTCCCAATGTCATCTGCTTTGGTCATGCTTTGTAATTACCCCTAATTACAGCTAATTATAGCAGCAGTGTCCTAACATTCTCCATAGAGTGATGCTCATTGCCTGAAAGATTGTACAAATCCCAAATGAGGAAACTCTGAGCTGGTCAAGCTTGTTTTGTTGCTATTTTCCCCTATAAACATGTTAATAAAACAATAAGAATAATTTCTTTGGAAAGCAATGCTTCTGTCAAAATTAAACGCTTCCGAGACACGTACAACCCAGTGGTCCCCCCTCTCTCAGCCCTGAAGGTTCCCAGGCTCAAGCCATTGGTCGTGTGGGGCTGTAACGAGGTGCTGTTAGAACCACGGATTGCTCATCTTTGTGATCTAACTCTCTTGCTACAGAGTAAGCCACCGATCCGTTGGTCCATAGCTGCAGCTTAGGGTCAGATTCTTTGGCAAGGAACCGCAGCTGGGTTTTTCTCATCTTCTTTACAAGTCTAGCGAAGCCAAGCAACACAGAACTCAGTATCATTGAAAATCCACAGAGAAGAAATGCCGCGGTGTAGCTCCCAGTCATGTCGACGAGCCGTCCTGTAACAAGCAACAGCAGAATTACATTGTTGAGTGGAAAATCCAATTACGTACCTACTCCCAAATCTAGTAATTTCTAAGGCTGATAAACAATAGATTGCTAGAGCCACCGTTGTAATTTTGACACAAAAAGCAGATCTAAAAATATTGTGCAGCAACTGAAAAACGCATTCTGTTTCCTAGGAAAACTAAAATGGATTGTTGTTCTGTAAAGTACTTGGAAGAGTGTCCCATTCTTAGTAATCACACAACAAATATTATTATCAATACCAGCAAATGTGGTAGAAAAGATAAAATAGTGTCTTTCAAAGTACTGATGTTGGGATCATTTATGTCTGCTGTCAAGAGAGTATCATTGTCCTGAATGTTAGTGTTCCCAGTACCCATGTACTGTCTATCTGGAGTAACATAACATGCTTCTGGATAAAGCAGAATTCAAATTTTCAGTTGGAACCAGTCGTTGCACGCACTGCAGTTTGAAAATCAGAACTTTGGGCCATTGTAGAAGTTGCCAATGTAAACTTCACCAGGTATCATTTTGCAATCATGGCCTTTTCCCCCTTTATTTCTTCTTGCGACAAATTAATCTCAATAACTATTCCAGCTCTAAATTTTGAGGAGAACCAGGGCATATAATATGCAAAACATAGGCCACAATGATCAGAAAATCAATGGGGTCAAATTAGACCTTGGCAGGCAATTACTTTGGGATTAAAAAGTTTTTTAAAAACTCCTCTAAATTGGGGTGCCTGGGTGGCTCAGTTGGTTGAGCATCCGACTCTTGGTTTCGGCTTAGGTCACAATCTCAGGGTCATGAGATCAAGCCCCACATCAGGCTCTGCACTCAGTGAGGAGTGTGCTTGAAGATTCTGTCCCCTTATCCCTCCCCCTGCTTTCTCTCTCTCTCTCTCAAATAAATAAAATAAATCCTTTAAAAAAATTCCTCTAAACTTAAATCCACTGGAAAAGTATATGATTTTTCCTTTCACCCACCTCAATTCATTAGTGAAAAATGGTATGGAGAAATTGTTATAAGCCCCACAAAGTTTCCTGCAATCCAAACTACTCTGAAATATTTTAGCTATTGTGTGACTTACTTATGCATTTCTGTAGCACCAAACAGAAGAGACTGAATAGAGAGTTGTCATTTTAAAGGTAATTAAATAAGAGAAGTATTATGGTAAGAACCTCACACCCTAATCCTCCAATGCCTGGCAACAGGTATAATCTCTGATTTGCCAAAGTAAAGCCATGGATTGAAAAAAGATCCAGGAATCCCAATTTCATTGATGCACTGTGACTTTTTAACAGAATTAGAGAATTATACTGCTCCTAAAGGTTGGTAAACACAAAAATTGGCTATTGAGGAAGGATGTGGGGACGTTTTGGGGGCAGTTTTCCAAAATGAAGCACTAAACATGTAGTCCTATATTACCGAATTTAAACTGACCAGGATTTTTTATCCACAACCATGAAGGAACCACAGTTTCCCCTAGTTTGCTGCTTTAGCAATCACTAGGGTTTGGAAATAATTCTAAACTGTTTATTTACAACATCAGCTAAAGAAGAAATCCTGCCTTCTTCACAAATTCCCTTCCTTTCTTCTAAGCAGATGTTTGGCTCATTTCTTTTTTGCCTATCTTCAGGGACCTTCACTCTCTTGGTTTAGTTTAGGCAGGGCACCTGGGTGGCTCAGTCGGTTAAGGGGCTGCCTTTGGCTCAGGTCATGATCCAGGAGTCCTGGGATCAAGCCCTGCATCGGGTTCCCTGCTCAGTGGGGAGTCTGCTTCTCCCTCTGCCCTTCACCCTGCTCTTGGGCTCGCGCACTCTGTCCCAAATAAATAAAGAAAATCTTAAACAAAAAAAAGAACCAATTATTCTCAATCTTCAGTGTGCATGAGCACCACAAGAAGGCTGGTTCAGAATGTACATTCTTGGAAAGATTCAGATCACAAGGCAAGATCAAGGAATCTGCATTTTGTAACAAGGGCCCCAGGGGGTTTTGACGCAGGGGGTCCCAGGACCTCCATTTTGAGAGACACTGGTCTAGACCACATACTCTAAGAAGGAGGGAGGGACTCTGACCTGTTGCTGCTATAGCAGCCCCAAAAGCAACGTTGATGCACACAAACAATAAAGGGTTGTCAAATTACTTGTTTAATCACGCTTTCAATTTCTATAGCATTTGACAGTTTACAAAACATTCTATCTAGATGCTTTATCTGATGATCCCCAAATCTTTGAATCCAAATCTGGCCTCCCTCTAAAGCTCAGATTTCATCCTTAAACAGCTCTGTTGGACATTGTATTGGGTATTTCAGATATCTGAACATTTCTAAACTTTTAATTCATTATTTTTTCTGGCAAAGGCACTTTTTCCAACTTCCATATTTCTTCCAACCATGCCATTGTTTTCTAGGTTTTCTTTGCGTTTTCCTCTCCTTCGCCCCCACATGCTAAATTCAGTTGATATTTTTTTCCAAAACCTCCTCTTTGCCCCCGGCGTTCATTTCCATTTTGCTGCAGCGGCCCTAGTTCAGGACTTTTATCAGTTTGCTCCTGAACTATTAGAATGGAATCCTAACTGCTTCTCCCCTAAAGTACCAGATCAATTGCTAGGTCCCATTTTCTAAGATATACTCTTTGCCATATTACCCCTTTGCACAAAAATTATACTACTATCCATAGTCTCTGAAGAATATAGGGCCCGTTTGGCTCCTTTGGCTGGCACTCAAGACACCGACTATGACACACTCACTTACCATTTCAGCCTCTCTGCCCACTATCCCCAAGTGGAATCCTGTACTCCCTCTAGACTTCCCTCTGCGTGTGCCTGACTTATTTATAAGTTTTGAACAGCTGCTCCATTCCATTGCTCCCATCATTAGCGTGGAATGGAATCAGGACCCTAATTTTGGATTTTTTCTTTCCAAGCAGGCTAAGGTCCCCATTGGCTGGAAGAAAATGGTAAGACAAGGATATAAGTAAGACCATGATTTTTTGATGGCTCTTGAATCCCTTTCTCTTTCACTCTTCCCAATTTAACTTCCAATCCTCATTGTCTATGTGTGAGTTCACTGTTTTCACATCAGTATGAAAAACAGAAGCGGTGATTGGGGGATCTCTCTGGAAACCTACCTGCGATGGGTGGGCTCACCAGGTACGGCACTGCATGAAGGAAGTATACCACACCGAGCGCTGAGGACAAAGAAGTGGTCCCCACTATTTCTGCAGTCACTACGGGAATCAGAGTCACATAGGCACCATCGAAGTAGCCAAAGGTACAAGAGAAAGGCACGAGCAGGGGAAGACTTTGAAGCATTGGGAGGCAGAGATAGCAGAGCCCATCTAGTCCCACGGCAAAGAGGTAGCAGACATACCGGTAATTCTTCAGGCACCTGTGGATTTGAAGATCAAGAATGAGTGCAGTATGCGCGGGTTCTATCAAAGAGCTTTAGAACCATGGCCACAATAAGCAATAAGCATTGCTATTACTTATAGAGGCTTCCCATGGTGCATTATCTATGTTGTCTGCCTATCTTTCTTCTGGTATATGAAAACACAAGAAGTCATCTTCCCAGGAAACATGGTGTGGCAGAAAATAATATACGCTCTGAAGTTAGAAAGATGGAAGTTTGAATCTAGCTCTATCACCTACTAACTGCTTACCTCTAATCTCAATTTCTTTAGCTATAAAATGGGAATGTTACCTATCTTGTAGGGTTACCCTAAGGATAGTTATAAAATAACATGTACAGTATCAGGAGACTAACATTTTCTAGCAGTCTATTAGATGCTTTCAGATAGGTCATCCACTGGTATCTGGTACATCATATATGCTCAAAACCCCCAGGTATAAAAGGGAGAAGCTAGAATATGAAGACATTAAAATGATTTGCCAGAGATTATGAAGGTCTTGTACTAGGACTAAGTCTTATTTTGAGCCCTCCCCAGTGGTACTTCCATTCCACTTTCCCTCTATAGCTCCAAACTCATCATTGATAGCAAATGGCATTGATACCATCATTATTTCAAAGACTCAGCATAATATCAGCACCAGCAGTTTATGCCTTACAAACAGTTATCAACCTACCATCTCCTTTGAGTCTCACAAAATGCTAAGAGGTTAATAGAAAAATATGGCAATGGCCTGTTTTGCAGATGAAGGCCCTAAAGGATCTGAGGGTTAGTGATTTTCCCTAGGTCACAGCGATAATAAGGGGCAGAGTCAGCATAAGTACTTAGGTCTTGTATATCTCCGACTAGAGATGCCACTATCAAACCTACACTGGGCTACTTCTTATTGAGTTGATTGTCAAGAAAGATATCCCGGCTCTCCGCTCTTTTCCGTAACCATTGCATATTTGGAATTAATTTTAAATATTCATAGCACTGGAGAATGGCAGTGGAACCCTGATTAATTACCAAAGACATAATATGTAAGAAGCCACGGATGATTGCTCTCCCAGGTCATAGCTCAAGTGTGAAGAGTCCATTTAGGAGAAGATGAGTACCTTGCTCTCTTCAATCCTAACAACAAGCATTAGCTGAAGAAACTACTTGGTAGATTTCTGATAACTGTAATTTCTAAGCCTAAAATTATAATGAATGTATTTGCTATTTGTTTTGTCAAACACAAATATGTGCCTACAGATAATGTACTATTACTGCCCCTGATCTTCCTGCCTGGACTGAATTCTGCTCCTCTCTCCATCGCCAGCCAGTCTCTGCCGTCATTAAAAAATAACTAAAACCACAACACCCAGCCTGAGCACTGACTTGACTTGGGGTGGAATTAAATCTGTCACCAGAGCTTGTAGTTACCACAGGTTTCTGCAGCTTAGACCTACCCACCATCCTAAACCATCTAGAACAGAGGTCGGCAAACTCTGGCCAAATCCAGCCCACCACCTGTTTTTTGCCCTACCTGTGAACTAAGAATGGTTTTCTATTTTTGAGTGGTTGGAAAAAAATCAAAAGAACCAGATTATTTTGATATGTAAAAGTTGTATGAGAAATTAAAATGTCAGTATCCATAAGTAAAGTCTGACCGGCATACAACCACTCGCATTAGTCTGCATGTTGTCTACAGCTGGTTTGTGCCACAACGGCGGAGTTGAGTGACTGTGATCACGTGACCCACAGAGCCAAAAATGTTAACTATCTATCCCTTTTACAGAAAAAGTTTGCCGACCTCTGACTAGAAGAACTAGCAAGGGAGTTGCTTTCAGGTACTGCAAACTTGTTAACATCTCTCCGAAGTAGATTTTCTACAGGGTAAGGGGATGAGGGGAACTCAAAGCTCAGAGCCCCCTGGTAGGGACCCAGCTGTGGTCCCAGCAGATTTTACCTTCTGTCAGTTAGCCATCCAAACGTGATATTGCCAATAATGTCAATCACCCCAAGTATGGACATGAGGAAAGCGGCTTGCTGGTGACTCACTCCGACACTCAGAGCGTAAGGTACCAAGTACACAAAGAGGGGACTGCAGCCATAAGCCATAAAGAGAACAGAGATGGCTAACACGATGAAGTCCGACATCAGTAAAAAGCTGTATTCCTGCTGCAAAGAGCAACCGAGGCAGGTATGCACCCATTTTTTAGTCAAAGTGGAGCAGGGAGACACTCGCTTAAAGTCTTGTTTCTGAGTTCTACCGATGTGGTTCTGCTCTGGGGTTGTCTGGTCCTCTTTCAGAGTAATAGGCCGCATCAAGGCACCGCAAACACAGAGATTTAGAACGAAGCCCCCGAGGATGAGTAAGGCTCCCCGCCAGGAAAACTGTTCAATAAGGAGCTGAACCACAGGAGCCAGAATGAAGGTGCCAATGCCGCTTCCGGACATGGCGATCCCATAAGCCAGGGCTTTCCGTCTGCTGAAATACTTGCCGACCATTGCAATCGCTGGGGAGTAACACAGTGCAAACCCAAGGCCTGGAGGATACAGAGAAGTCTATGAGTGCTGGTACTCCGTGAACAGCCGGTGAAAGAAAACATCTCAGTTATTCGGATGAAGGAGAATCTGGCTGTCTGTCAAATCCTTTTAAAACTATTTTCTACCCCAAGCTGAAGATGAGTCTCCCCCAACCAGTCATCCACAGTTGGGAAAATATAGCATATATATGACTTCCTTCTTGGGAAGAAACCCTTAAAAAATATGACTTCTTAAAATGAAATGAAGAACTTAAAAATTATTACACAAACTGAACTTGAATTAGCTAGAAAATCAGGATAACGCTGGCCTAAGAAACTTACTCTTCCCACCAACACCTCTTTTTATCTTAAATTATCCAGAGAATTACCTCAGCTCTTCACTGCCTATGAAAACACAACTCTGATCATCTGGACCACTCTGGAATTTGGGTTTAAATAGCATATATGGCCCCATGAAAGTTCCAGGGTAATTTCACATAATTGGGAAACTCTGTGCCAACTTTATACATGAACATAGCATATACACAAAGTAACCTGAAAATATGCCTTAAAGTCAGCAGAGAGCCTCTTAAAAATTTTCAGCTTCTATTCCTTTTAAGTCAAGAAAATCTAAAGGGTGTAAAACCTGGGATTCATGGCATCTAAAGGGAAAAACAGAACCACCGGCAGCTCCTGTTTCCATCCATACTGTAGGGTGACCAATGATCCTGATTTGCCTGGACAGATAAGTTTCCCAGATGAGAGATTTTCAGTGCTAAGACCAGGGCGCTTCTTGGTAAACTGCGATGACTGGACACATCCTAGCATTTGGACCCTTTGGGTTATATGGGACAGATACCTTTTCTTAGCTAGCGGAGCCAGATTTATAAAACCACTACGAGATTATGTTCTTTATTGGCCAGATCATGCTACCCCTATGGCACGGTGCCCAGACCGCAGGTTAGCACTACTCCACATCCCTCTGAGTGATAGGGCAAATAGCCACTCCATTGCCACCAACCGATCCCACCTTGATGCTAAGAAGTCCCCTTAGGGTGTGATTTATGGAATGCACATAGATTACTTCTCTTCCCACAGGGTTCATTATAATTCTCTAAAGTATATTTCCATAACATTGAGAGAATGTACAACACAAGAATATTCACAATAAGGGGCTGGCTTTTTTAAATTATAAACCCCCATTTATTGGACAGTGATCGTCACTATAAAGCAGGGGCAACTCAGGTTGACCACAGATAGTATTTTTATGTCTTGGCAAAGATGTTGGGAGAATGATCACTGCTGAAAATATATGTTGCCCTGACTAATACCTCATTGCTTCTGAGTACAGAATCTCAGCCATGCACAGCTGCCGAAGGGAAAGCTAGCAGTTACTTCTATCCTGCGGCCGAATTCAAGCAGTGATACATTTTTATTACAGCAGTACAATCAATTGTATGTCCAGCTCTTTTAACTGCTAGGTAGGTAGGCATAAGCTGGGTCAGCTAAATGATTCATCTAATGAGGTGAATATTTTATGGATTATGATTCTGTTGATGTGCTTGACAAAACCTGAATGGGGTGGGGTGAGACAAGGGGTACAAAGTGTCCTTACCTGTAAGAACTCCCAGAGTGAGGTAGAGATGCTTCAGACTGGTGGCAAATGAGCCCAGGATGAGACCAGTAGATGCAAGCAAGCCACCCAGCATGATTCCCACTTGACAGGATAAGTGGTTACTGACAACACTCCCAAGAGGAGCTTCAAAAGCAATAATAAATCGGTTCAACAGAAACACCTTGAGGGCACTGTGAAAAAAACTATGCTGCTGCATTGGCAGAGCTGAGAAGGATGGGCCTTTACAGCAACAAGCCTGTCCTGCTCACTCTACACATTTGGAAACTGAGGAGAGAGGAAACGACTTGCCCACGGTCACACAGAGAACAGGTAGCAAAGCTGGAATTAGGATCGAGTCTGCTGACTTGCATTTCACTGCCCCTCCCACTTCTCCATTCTATTACAGTCATAATCCCAGGGCTCTAGGGTGCTTTTTTTTAATTTTAATTTATTTTAATTTAATTTATTTATTTATTAAAGATTTTATTATTATTTTTTTTTATTATTTATTTGACAGAGAAAGACACAGCGAGAGAAGGAACACAAGCAGGGGGAGCGGGAGAGGGAGAAGCAGACTCCCTGCTGAGCAGGGAGCCCGATGCGGGACTCGATCCAGGGACTCCAGGATCATGACCTGAGCCGAAGGCAGTCGCCCAACCAACTGAGCCACCCAGGCGCCCCAGGGTGCTTTTTAAACAGTGAATCAGCTCCTTATTTAAATTACTTATCACTTGCACCGGGATGTGCCTTGTATGTTTTATATGGTATTGATCATGCACCATTAGCAATAATTATGACAGTTAGCTGGTGGGGAAGCAAAGTGGGCAACCCTGTGTGGCCAGCAGCTTTATGCAGGAAAGGCCAGGGAAAGAGACCACAGACAAATTTCACAATCTGGTACTGGTTTCAGGCTTTAGGAAACCCTGTAGATGAGAAATCAAAACAAATGTTTCCCGTCCATGGTGATATTTTGGTTGGCCTCACTCTGCTTGTGGTTTAACAATGTGTCAGAACTGTGCCGACTGCCAGGCTTATAGAATATTAATTAAAGCTGGGACATACTGAGGAGAAACTGAAGTTCAGGGGAATACGGCATGTCCAAGATCACCAAGAAGTACCGCTTGGGGCACTTGACACCAAGTGCAGTGCTATTTCACCCTCTTACTCTGTCTCCTTGGGCCTCCCAGACTGATGGCAGGGGACGTGGGTGGGGAAAGTATGTGAATTCTTTCAATGGAACATGCTGATAGCAGTACTCCTAGTAACAAGATCAGAAGAGCAAGTTCTCTGGGTATCCGTGGAGTATACTTTTGTATTGATCAGGTTGAAACTGGGGCCTGACTCAAATGTACGTGATGGAACCAGTCATCAGCCTGATGTCTCCTGTCTAGTTAACACAGTGGCTGGCTGTATGTATAACCTCTGGAAAACAGGAAGGAGCAAACCTCCTGAGAATATATATAATTCTATCGGAAAGTGACAAAATTTAGACCAAACTCAATGAAAAATTTTTTTTTGTTTTTTTTTTTAAAGATTTTATTTATTTATTTGAGAGAGACAGAGAGAGAGCATGAGAGGGGGGAGGTCGGGAGGGTCAGAGGGAGAAGCAGACTCCCTGCCGAGCAGGGAGCCCGATGCGGGACTCGATCCTGGGACTCCAGGATCATGACCTGAGCCGAAGGTAGTCGCTTATCCAACTGAGCCACTCAGGCGCCCTCAGTGAAAAATGTTTACTTCTCTGTTTATCAGAGGGCAAAGTGCCCCAGTGAGTGTCCTATATATGACTCTGCCGGCTTTTGTCTATCTCCTGAACTCAACTAATGTTGCCAGGTGAGCAAGTGGGTACAGGATAATTGGATACAACAGGCCTGACCCCTCGCATGGCCTCAAGTCCTTGAATTTAAAAATGCTACATCTAACATGACCCTGCTTTATCACACAGTCACTGTGATCATGTTGGTCACCAAAGGCCATTTATTCCTCTTCTGGGGATTATAAATATTCTCCAAAAGATAACAGTGAGGGAAATGAGTCACCTGTGTCCTCTGAGAAAGATAAACATGGCTCACCCACTTGGCATGTTCATACAAAGGCTGTGACTAATAATGTGACCCTGAAAACAAAGTGACTGTCTAACTGATTAAAAAAAAAAAAAAGACTAGAAAACACAAAGATATTATTTTTTGATCCCTTAAGACCTTCCAGTGTTATCAGTAGCCAGAGTCAACTTAGCCTTCTCATGAAACCTGCTTTTAGTCCTAGACTTGCTCTCAAATTCCTCCCAACAAAGGAAATACATTTCAGTGCAATTCAACTGATTCCTGAGTATGTACATTTTTTCTAAAAATACATATGAATCAGTACCTAGAATGGAATCAGTTGATTTATTTATGAGTTATTGAATAATATAGTATTTCCCTTCTGCCACCAAGACATGGCCTGAAGAGATAACAGTGTTTTTTTTTAATACTAAGGATTCATCTAAATGAAATGATTAAATGGGCCTAGACTGCATATAGATCATTTCAACTGGATCCCAATCTCAGAAACTCTCTAAGACATTCATATAATAACATTGGTTTAAAATGTTCAAAAAGAAAAATCTCAAGGTGAGTTATCCTCTATTATATAGGGGGATTGAGAGATTCCATGAGTTTTGAGACTACTCTATATACCCTATTTGTACCCTTGGGGTTTCTTGAATGAAATTATAACCATGGTGAGTGTGCTTCTCTCATGACTGCACCATCCTACCTTCCCTCATACTTTTCTAAGAATGAAGGTTTATGCATGAAAAATGAAATCCAGGAGCCCAATTTTGAACCTTTGGGAAGCTAACAGAATGAAAACAAGCCTTGAGATGCGATGCACATATTGCTGGCACTCATTTAAGGAGACTGCATAGAAATGGCTCACAGTGCTATCCAATGACTGTTTACATGACTGGAGAATGAGGGGACCATAGCATTTAGAAGAGGGAAGCCAAGCATATACTGTATGGTTACCTGCTTCCCAAATCAGGAGGAGTCCTGTGATGCCCAACACCCTATCTCATTATGGGAGAACCAAATAATATATGTCTTTTTGGGAGTATTAACTACCTGTTCCACCTGCCATCAGCCAAGACCATTAATTCCAAGAGCATGTCTGGTTGGGTTTGGCTAAAAGTAGGATTGGTCTTTTCTTTTTATATAGTCTTAGCCAATTTTTATACTTGATCTTAGCCAAAAGGCTGAGAAGCAATAGTCTTAGCCAATTTTTAGCAAAGCCTTCCTACTCAGAAAAAAACTGGTAAGCAAAAGCAGTGGAAGGTCATTGTTATGTACAGTTCAAGAGTAACCAGTCTATCCCTGGTAAGTGATACTCACCACAGAGCATGGTCACACAATCTACAATGGAATGGATCCAAGCCGTTTGTGCATAATCCTGAGTGAAGTATGTCTGGAACTCCACAAAAAAAATTGAAATACATCTGAAAAATACAATGCAAGCATTTTATACAAAAAAAAAAAAAAAAAAAAGAATGAACATGGATCTAAACCACAGCTTCAAATTCCGGATCAGCTGTTTGAATCTCCGTAGGCTTTAACTGGTTTTCAGTGGTACATTGCCAGACCATAGTAAGTGGGAAGTCAGAAGCTGTTGGGCCGTCTAAAGGATAAAACCAATGTTCATGCACTGGAAGGGCTTCTGAAGCCAAGTGGATATAAGGATCACTGCTGTAGGAAAGGTTTTATGGAAATGATGGCAGGTCAAAAACATGGGTTCTCATTTATCTTAATATTTTACTAACAACTGTAACTTCTAAGAGGTTGTTATACAAGTTAAAATTTGACAATTAAGAGTTATACATCACCCAGCAATTTCAGTTCTAGGTTTCAACAAAAGGTAATAATCAAATGATGATAATAATAGCAATAATAAAAGGATGTATGCTGGAGAACTATTTGTAATATGTAATTTGTAATAACCAAATATCCTAACGAACCTATTTGCCCATCAATAAGGGACTGGCTAAATAAATTTTGACTTATCAATAAAATGAAATATTTTAAGTGTTAGAAAGGATGATTTGATACGTATTTATTGATTTGAGAATAAATTCATAATACAATGTTAAGTAAAAAAGTAAGTTACAAAGGAGTTTATATAATCAGGCTTATTTTGATTTAAAAAACATAGTTCATATAAATAGAAAAAGGCCAAAGCATATAAACCAAAAGTACTCTGTCATTACATGTGAATGGTGAGATTATAAATGATCACTCTAGAGAGAGAGAGAGACAGACATACAGAGACAGAGAAACTTCATGTGGAAAATTGTTAATTACTAAAGGAAAAAAGACATAAGTGATTCAGGAGCGAGAGTTTGTATCACTGTACAACTTGAAATGAACGTCATACAGATCAGCAAGTTTCCCAACTCAGGGCAGGAGGTTTCAGTACTCGGTGACAGCAAGGGTGAATCAGGCCTTGATGGGGATGAGATAGGAGGTCATCAGTCTCTTTGGGGAGGACCACAGTCTAACTCATCATGCTTCAGCAGCCCACGGTAACCTGTTATTTCACTCTTCCTCCCCTCTCCAGTTGCTGCTGGATGTGAAGGTGGGTGATGGAGAAAAAGAAGAAGGAAGAGAATCAGGTATAACCAGGACAACTGTGTTAGGCAGGTCCGGCTTTACCAGCTTGCATCCTCTGCATTTGCACAGAATCTGGTACTCAGAAGTATGGAATTTCAGCTGTCGTGGTCTTAAAATTCCTAACAATTTTATCTTTGAATTTGTGTTTTGCAAGCAAAGTCCAAAGGAACAATGGGGCATGCACAGGACCAGAAGAGATACACACACAAGGTGTGTTTGCGATTCTTTGCCTTTCCATTGACACGTGTAGTATTAGAGACACAAACTCTGGTAGACTCCCAATGTGTGGGAGTTTGGTGAGACTCAGAGTGAGCACAGGGAAAGGTACATCTGTAACTGAGTCAGGGTGGGGGTAGAGAGGCCATGCTTTTTTCAAACCAAAACTTGCTTCAAATACAGAAAGAAGGCAATAGTGCTCTAAGAAACACAAAGGAGGATTCCTATATCCTTTCCTACTCAGGTTATGCCTCAGTATTTTACTAGCCAACCACTTATATTGAAAATGATGGCACGGAGGGAAAGGGAAAGGGAAGACTACCCACAGTTCCTTTCCTTTTCCGTCTTTCCTTACTCACCAGGAAGTGGAAGATACAGAACATTGATAGTAAGTGCATGCACCCACGTTGTTGTGAATGGCAAGATTTCATTGTTTCTGATGGCTGAGTAATAGTCCATTGGGTATATATGTGGGTGGAATTAGAATGTATTATGCTAAGTGAAATAAGTCAGTCAGAGAAAGGCAAATAACATATGATTTCACTCATATGTGGAATTTAAGAAACAAAACAGATGAACATATGGGAGGGGGATAAAAAAGAAAAAAGAGAGAGGGAAACAAAACCGTAAGAGACTCTTAATGACCCAGAACAAACTGAGGGTTGATGGAGGGAGGGAGGTGGGGGATGGGAGATGGGGGATGGGCATTAAGGAGGGCACTTGTGATGAACACCGGGTGTTGTATGTAAGTGATGAATCACTGAGTTCTACTCCTGAAACCAACATTGCACTGCATGTTAACTAACTAGAATTTAAATAAAAATGGGGGGGGGGGACAAAGTACATGTATTAAGAAGTGAAGTAAAATCAGTAGAGTTTTTTGTGCAGGGTTCTCCTGATTCTGGTGAAAATGAACTACCTATGCAGGCACGAGCTCCAGTGATTCCACACAGGAGTTAAATACTCACATTTGCGTTCAAAACTAGTATGGCAGGATATAAAGCTGAATGGTAAATTCATGCTAGCAAATTAATATTTCCATTTTTCTTTCCTAAGAACAACTTTGAACAGCAAATTAAGAACTCCACGAAAAATTGAGGGGGACCAATGAAGAAAGGAAAAACTTTCTACTTCAGCACTTTTTTAAAAAAGATTTTATTTATTTATTTGATAGAGACACCCAGCGAGAGCAGGAACACAAGTAGGGGGAGTGGGAGAGGCAGAAGCAGGTTTCCTGCTGAGCTGGGAGCCTGATGCGGGGCTCGATGCGGGGCTCGATGCGGGGCTCGATGCGGGGCTCGATGCGGGGCTCGATGCGGGGCTCGATGCGGGGCTCGATGCGGGGCTCGATCCCAGGACCCTATGATCATGACCTGAGCTGAAGGCAGACGCTTAACAACTGAGCCACCCAGGCGCCCCTCTACTTCAGCACTTCTAACAGCACTCTTTTCTTACCTTTCGAACAAAGGGACCTGCATTTTCATTTTGCACTGGGCCCTGCAGTTACGTTGCGGGTCCTGGGGATGGGAAAGGGAAAGGGGGCAGTAGGGGGTGCTAAATACTAAGTCCCAGCAAACGCTGGACTGCAGTCTGATGCACAGAGTACAGAGTAGCCCACACTTGTGGAAGGAGGGGATGGAAGCTGGATGAGGCAGAGGGAGAGGCCAAGTTGTGATGCAGGACTGACAAATCCTCCCCAATCCCAGAGGCTCTGTGCATCTCCCTCGATCCATCCCGGTATGTGGGTGTCCCTGGAAAGGCGTGCTCTCGGGAGAGGTAGCCCTCCCGCGGGTGAGGGGGAGCCCGTGGGCACTGACAGCTGCAGGTGGTCTGCTGATGGACATGCTGCTGCTGACGCTGTCTGAGAGGCACAGCTCTGTGATCACCGCCCTGAGTACCGTAGGTGATTATCTGTCACAGGGTGTAAAAAGTAGCCATTCTGCATCTACTGATTTAAGAAGCCAGACAACATGTTGCAGTGGATCTGATGCTAGAAGGATCATTAGATCAGCGTTTGGAGTACTGCAACACCGTCATAGGTAATGATATGCAGAATAGTGACATAAACTACCGGGCTGATCATTTGCATTTCAATTTAATTAAAATATTGCAGAGCTTTTTTAAAAACATGAATTCAGTGCAACAGCAACAAAAAACTCTGTGATGTTTCTTAAAATCTTTTTGTAAAAGATGTATTTATTTATCTGAGAGAGAGAGGGCCTCTGAGGGGGTAGGAGTGGGGGAGGAAGAGAATCTCAAGCAGACTCCCCACTGAGCGTGGAGCCCTATGTGGGGCTCGTTTTCACAACCCTGAGATCATGACCTGAGCCAAAATCAAGAGTCAGATGCTTAACTGACAGCCACCCAGACACCCATGTTTCTTAACATCTTAAAGATTGCTTGACCAACACTAAAAAGTCTATTATTTTCTCCTAACCACAAGGACTTCAATTAAAGAGAATAATAACTTCTTGGATATAGCCTCATTTTTTAAAAAAGATTTTATTTATTTATCTAGAGAGAGAGAGAGAGCGTGTGCGTGAGCGGGGGCAGGAGGGATAGGCAGAGGGAAAGAGAGAGAAACCCAAGCAGACTCTGCTCTGAGTGTAGAGCCCAGTGCAGGGCTCGATCCCACACCCCAAGATCATGATCTGAGCCAAAATCAAGAGTTGGGAGCTCAACTGACTAAGCCACTCAGGTGCCTCTTGGATATAGCCTCATTATCAAAATTGTTAAGTCATCCTTAGCCCAGGCTTCTCAATGCAAGTACTGCTGACATTTTAGTCATATTGTCCTGTGCATCAAATAGAGTTTAGCGGCATCCCTGGCCTTTAGCCCAAATGCCTCCAAACATTGACAAATGTCCACTGGAAACCAAAATCAGCCTGGTTGAGAATCTACTCTGTGGTCAAGTTTTACTTATTCTACCTTATACATATCTCTCAAATGCCTCCACATCTCTGCATTCCCCTTATTCGTAATTCATGCCAATACCTCTCTCCTGGACTGCAGCCCAAACCCTCCCCAACTATTCTCCCTGAACCCACATGGCTGCCTTGGGTACATTTTACACTCAGTGGTCAGAGTTACTAGAACACGAAATAGATCCTGATGCTTGAAAGTTTTTAACACGACTTCTGAGATCCTGCATGAGCTGGCCCTTCTCAGTGTCTCCCCCAGCTCCCCACCACTATGCATTACTCACTTCAGTCAGGCTGAATGCTTTCCATGACTCTCCACACACCCCCATACTCTTTCACACCCCTGAGCATCAAAATTTGTCTTCTTTCCTAGGATGCTCTCTCAGCCTCCCTCATTCTTTTAGTCTCAAGATAACAGTCAACTCCTCCAGGAAGGCTGAGGAGGTTTGATGCCTGAGTCTGGGTTTGATGCCTCTCTTAAATGTTTACACGACACGCGGGGCACTTACCACATGACAGGCATATAGCAATCCCCTTTGCATGTGTTTGCATTCTCCACTAGACTGCTGCTCTGTGACAGCAAAGGCCATGTCTGTCTTGTCTTGCACTTAATCCCAAATATCCAGTACACCACCTTTCATGTACTGGGTGCTCATTAAATATCGTTCAAGGTTCGAGGTATTGAAGGAAGGAAA